ATAGGCTCTGGTTTGTGGTAAATATTCTTTATTGTGCTAAAGGAAAACTCATTACTATGTGGATCTTTTCTGTAATCAAGAATATCAAACTTTATCAATGTATTTATAGTATCACGGCTTTTCTACTCTTCTATATTTTAATAATGATTAATATTAACTGTTCCCTTAATTTTATACTAAGCTTGCTGTATTTTCCCTGCTAAGATTGTAAGATTTTAGCATTTATTGTCACAAGTAGAATTAACTTTTTCCTTTTCTCATTACTGCACTTGACTAGTCTTTAGAAAAGAAGAAAGCAAAAAAGTTATTAGTTGGAAGTGTAGAGAAGGATAAGGGATACATAGAGAACATGTATAGAGGAAAATATAGAGAAGTATAGAGATGTACCTTTAATAAAATTAAAAGTACCCATAATCACTATCAAAGTCAATATGACTCCAACTTCTAAATATGTGAACACTGTGATTCTATTTTCTTTCCTTTTTTTCTTTGAGACAGAGTGTTGCTCTGTCGCCCAGGCTGGAGTGCAGTGGCACGATCTCAGCTCACTGCAACCTCCACCTCCAGGGTTCAAGCAATTCTCATGCCTCAGCCTCCCGAGTAGCTGGGATTACAGATGTCCACTACCACGCCGGACTAATTTTTTTAGTAGAGACGGGGTTTTGCCATGTTGGCCAGGCTGGTCTTGAACACCTGACCTCCGGCGATCCACCTGCCTCGGCCTCCCAAAGTGCTGGGATTACAGGTGTGAGCCACCGCACCCGGCCTCTGTTATATTTCCTGAAGCACATACAACAATTGACATCAGGTAGACAGCCCAGAATGCCAATTGAGAAACATGAGAAGTTGGAAAATAAAAATTAGCCAAGGTTGAACCAAATGTGAGTCATTCAGAGTTGACTATATCATCATTCAGTTACACTACATCTGTCTCTGAGAATCTTCAGTGGCAGATGCCTGAGTTAAGAGACTAAAGCACACACTTCTTTATTAATATTTTATGTCTTAGAATTCCTTTGGCATGTTCCTGCCTCACATACCTGGATTCTTCAGCCTCGAGAGCCATGCTCTGAAAATCAGGTGTCTTTTCTTCAGAGGTCGTATTCTCCATCTCCTTGGATGTATTTGCCTCACTTTCTACTGGAGTCAAGGTAGTTTGAAAATATCTTTTACCTTCAAAAGTCAGTGTTATGTTTGAGATGGTGACATGTTTTGAGGATTCTTTCAACTCACTCTTACTTTTTGTATCTTGTAGACACCCAGGCTTCAGAATGTTTTTCAATTTTTCCTTTAAAAATAAAAAGCAGCAGCAAATCAGGTAACAGAAGAGCATCAGGTAATAGGTGTTTGTGGAGCAGTATCTAATACAGGCAGCATTTCATTCATCATCACTTAACACCTGTGAGGAGTAGTAAGGAGGGAGAGAGGCTTAGAGTGGCATGACTATGGGGAGAGCCCCAGGTGTGTTGGCGGCAGGCTGTGTGGGAGCCAGGGCCTGCCCCACTGCAGCCTGACACAACATGTTCCCAAGCTCGTGTTGTCACCTCACAGAAGACAGTTGGCATCTCATTACAGCACAATAAATGTTTCCCAGAAATGCCACTGATTCCCCAGTCTGAGTTTGGTCTTAATTAGAGCATCTGATAGGTTACAGGGGCCAGGAGCTCATAATATAAAAGAGATTTTTTTTTTTTGTCAAAAGACTTATAACCTGTATCTAAAACTTAATACCCTAAAATCCCGCCCTGCTCCTAATTTCCCAGTTTCTGTTAATGTATCACCTCTCCTAGCCACTCTCTGATTTGCTCAGAATCACTCAGGACTCAAGGCAGTTGGTCAGCAGGCCCTAAAGCTGGCTTTCTAATGTCCTTCCTGTCCGCACCTTCTTCTTTCCACTGCCCCTGCCTAGTCCATTACTTCTTGATATGGTTTGGATGTTTTGTCACTTGAAAATCTCATGTTGAAATGTGACCTCCAGTGTTGGAAGTGAGCCTAGTGGGAGGTGTGTAGGTCTTGGGGGCAGATCCCTTGTGAATGGCTTGGTGCTGTCCTCACTGTAATGAGTGAGTTCTCACTCTGAGTTGATGCGAGATTTGGTTGTTTAAAAGAGCCTGGCACCTTCTTCCTCTCTCTTTTGCTCTCTCTCTGGCCATGTGATGTGCTGGCTCTCCTTCTCTTCTGCACGATTGTAAGTTCCCTGAAGCCCTCGCTTGAAGCAGATGCCAGCATTGTGCTTCCTTTACCACCTACAGACCCATGAGCCAATTAACCCTCTTTTCTTAATTAATTGCCCAGCCTCAGATATTTCTTTATAGCGATGCAAGAATGGCCTAATATACCTCTACTGCATTTCCTTTAAAATGATGTAATAATTTTCTTCCTTAAAGATAAAACTTTTCCCTGACAATGAAAGTCATACATATTTATTATAGCATATTTGGAAAATCCTCTAATGAATAAAGCTAAAGGTAGAATATTATTGCTTGCCAAGGTGGGTGGATTACTTGAGGCCAGGAGTTTGAGACCAGCTTGGGCAACATGGAGAAACCCCATCTCTACTAAAAATACAAAAATTAACTGGGCATGTGGTGGGCACCTGTAATCCCAGCTACTTGGAAGGCTGAGGCATAAGAATCGCTTGAACCTGAGAGGTGGAGGTTGCAGTGAGCTGAGATCTCGCCACTGCACTCCAGCCTGGGCAATGGAGTGAGACTGTCTCAAAACAATAATAATAATAATAATAATAATAATAATAATAAATGATTGCTTGTATGATGCCACTGCCCAGAAACAACTACTCCTGTGCACATTTCACTCTGATCTTTCTATTTATTTTGTTTATGTCTACTTAGATCATCTTCAAGTTCTGTCTCCTACCTTTTTCATTTAACATTTTATTATAAGCATTTTCCTCCTGTCATTAAAAATTGTGTAGAACTATTTGAATTTTTCCTAATTAAAAATTAGGTTTTTTGTTTGTTTGTTTGTTTTTTGAGACAGGGTCTTAAACTGTGTCGCCCAGGCTGGAGTGCAATGGCGTGATCTCAGCTCACTGCAACCTCCACCTCCCAGGTTCAAGCAATTCTCCTGCCTCAGCCTCCCGAGTAGCTGGGATTATAGGCACCCACCACCATGCCCAGCTAATTTGTTGTATTTTTAGTAGAGACGGAGTTTCACCATGTTGGCCAGGCTGGTCTCAAACTCTTGACCTCGTGATCCACCCGCCTTGGCATCCCAAAGTGCTGGGCTTACAGGTATGAGCCACCCACACCTGGCTAATTTTTGTATTTTTAGTAGAGACGGAGTTTCACCATGTTGGCCAGGCTGGTCTCAAACTCTTGACCTCGTGATCCACCCGCCTTGGCATCCCAAAGTGCTGGGCTACAGGCATGAGCCACCACACCCGGTCTATTATGCTTTCCCTGCAACTCTGTTGTCATACATTTATGAATGTATTTTTAAAAATGATTTATTTGGCAGAGATTTGTAATTGTTATGCAATCAATCAACTTGGAACTCTATTCCCCCAGAGGTTCACACTTGCTCAGGTCTCTGCTCAAATGGCCTTGACCACCTGTATAAAATATCTCTCCACCCTCTTCTAATCACTCTCACTCTCTATTCTCTCTCTCTCTTTTTATTTTCATCACAGCACATTCTAGCTGGCATAACATACTGTATTGGTTTATTATCTGTGTCCCCCACTAGAATAAAACACTTCATGAGATAGGGACTTGATCATTTTTGGTGCTGTATCCCCAGTGCCTAGTGCATAGGAAGTGCTCATAAATATTTTTGAGTGAATGATGCAAACTCTGCCATTGAATTACTTTTATTGCATCAGTGAACAATAAATGATCTTTCCTCTGTAAATGAGGCAATGATACCATTCCATTTTCTTCTGGCTCATTATAGTTTTAAAATAATTTACTCTTTTCCTATATGAAATTTTTTTATGGTACATCATAAATCTTTGACCAACATTTTCCTAGAATTTTGCTTTTTCCATGCTTTTTTTTTTTTTTTTTTTT